AAAAGGCATCAGACTGAATGTCAGGGGCTCTGACTCGGTCGTCTCCATCAGTAAGCCACGGGGCCATAACCTGTGTTTGTTATGAGGCAGATAATGAGCAGCTCCCTGGAAAACTCTCCACCCCTCATGCCCACATTCTGTCAGCAATTTTTCTGATTTCACCAGTAAGGGGTTGGGGAACCATGCCTGCATTTGTGCCAGTAGAGTACAGCGCCCATATAAAGTGGGCAAGTGGCAAAGAGATCTGCCTTGGTAAGATTAGAGAAAGCTTTTCTTAAACTCAAACTGTGGCCTCTGCTATCCATCACCGCTAACTGTAGGCAGCTCTCATAAACCCACCTGTGACCATCAGTGGGGGTGGGGCAGCCAACTTCGATTGAACGGGAAAAAGCTGACATGGAACAGATTCCACAGGGACCACAAGCTCAGCACTGAAACTGGACACTTGCCTTAGAGCAAGTCGAACTCATGGCAGACAGTGGAGCCTATCGAGAGGCACTTGCTCAGTGGGGTGGCTGAGAGAAATGGCCCATGATTCCTCATTCCCTTGATCTCTTATGACAACCAAAAGGCAAGCTTTTGGAAATGTGGGCTTGCTCCTCAATTTATCAATAATTCTATGCTTTTTTATGGCCTGACTTGTCATAGCTAAACAAGAAATGAGAATGCCAAAGACTTGGGATTCAAATTCCACCTCCATTTGTACTTGGCTGTGAGACCCTGAACAGGTAATTTTCTTTCTGCCTTGGTTTCCTCATTAGTCAATTGGGAATGGTGAAAATGGGCACATCCAGAAAAGTAGATGAGAAACTTTGGTGGAGGGTGGATGGCAGATGGCATAAGCATACCCTTCAAAAAATAAAACTGAGACAACCTGAGTGCCCATGTGGCCCCATTTCTGTCATACCTTTTCCTCTAAAGAGTTTTCACATGCACATATTTTTTTTCTAGTTCCACGAACTAATTAGGGCAGGCATTTTTGTACCCATTTTCCAGGTGGGGAAAACATTACAGAAATGAGGTGATTTTACAAAATTCATTGGGTTATAGAGCTGGGACTAAGCTTTTCAGGCTTTTGGAGTTTTGCCCAGAATTATTTCCGCTCTTTTCCTTGCCCTTTAAAAAGAGGGTGAAAAAAAAAACAGGTCCAACTAACTCAGACGTAAGCCTCTCTTCTGTTGCAGATGATACTTGACATGACCTTCTGAGTTCCCTCCACTCCTGTCAGAATGCCACAGAGATGCCAATATCCCCCTACTTAAATGAGCCTCTGATGTCCAGCACAGCTCCTTGGAATGGTGTATCATGGGAACGTTTGGTCAACTAGATCATCAAAGCAGGCATAATACAAGCAAGTCCACATACTGTGAGCCCAGCACTTAGCTCCCGGGCAAGCCCAGTAACTGACATGGCTGTCTACTGCTGCCACAGCAGGGAAGCCAATACATGTACACGGGCCATTTCCATATAATAGGATTTTTTTTTTTGGAAATCTCCATTTCTATTCTCTTCTACGAGACTACAAAAAAGGGATGCCACCTCGTTAAGTTTCCCAAACGTCTTCAGTGCCTTAGAACTTACGTTATTTCGACCCAGCTTCTTTTGTTCCCTGGAAGCTAGCTACATTATAGTCACAGGGAGCTTAGAGATGAGCTAGGCCTAAGCCTCACATTTTGCAAAGGAGGCAACAGACCCAGGGAGGTTGACTTACTCAAGGTGACATGGGTGGTAAGGGGGAGCTGGATTTGAACTCAAGTCACCGTGAGCTATCGCCAGCCATGGACAGACCAGCACTGCCCATCTGCACTAAATGTATAATGGATGCTCCTTCCTGCCAAGCATACTCATCACTCCCCCGTCCCCCAAAAGGGAACACGTCGTTGGCTGTATCATTCCCAGAAATGGTCAATGGTTATGACAAAGCACAGTCGGTGCTTACTAGCTGTTTCTTGCTCTGATCACTTTCCTTTTCGTGTATGATATAATGTAGTACAGTGGCAAGATTGCAGGATTTGAAGGCAGAGGACTTAGATTCAAGTCCCTTAACATCTCTGGGCCTCAGTTTCCTCATCTGTAAAATGAGGAGGCTGTACTAGATGATTTCTAAGGTCTTTCATGTCCAGATTTGTGTTCTTATAAATGAAGGCTGGGAACACAGCCTCTTAGAGCAAAGTGGGCTTGGGCCCAGTTGGGGTGGGAGGAATGTTCCTGTCTATCTGTCATTGCACTGGGGCAGTGTCAGCTGAGGAAGCAGCAGCAGCATGATATCAACAATGGTCTCACATGGACCAGTCAGAGACTGATACTGCCAAACTCTCCAGGCTCCCATGGCCCAGCCACATGGGATTGGAGGCGGTACCATTTCTGTCAAGGCTGAGTTTAACCTTTAAATCACTGTGTGTAGACCATTCTGAAATGTGCCCCCTGCTTCTTCCACCTTGGAACAAGCTTGATTCAATTGGAAGGGACGGAGGGAGAGCCTCCCCATCATGGAAGGCAGCCCTATGACTCTTCCACGATTTCTCTCATGTCGATTTTCTCAAGTACAACACTAGGTTTTATCTCCTTTGTGACACAGGACCACTGCACCCTGCGGCAGTAGGTGGAGCTGGGGAGGCTGCATATACAAATTTCTTCAGTTTGTGCTCTCCATGGCAGGAAGGGCAGGAAGGGGGATTGCTCTGGGCCTCTTGAACCTTTTCTCAGGTTAGAGATTTCAAAGGCAGTAAGATGCCAGCAAGTGAAGCAATGCCAACTGGGCATGATTGTATTTCCTAACGCACAGACTCTGCCCCCCCCTTTTGCCCATTCCACAGGTACACAGGCGCTGCCTTTGTTGGCCATGTCTGACGTTTGCCCTCTCTGAGCCGAGCACTCCTGACCAATGCTCACAGGACAAGCCCAATCTAATACTGCCCGGGAAGTTTAGGTTTGCCAAGTGCTTTGCATCTCATCTGATCCCTACAACACCCCTGGCAAGTAGGTGCCATTATCATCCTCACTTTCCAGATTAGGAAACTGAGGCTGACAGGTGAACTGACTAGGCTGTACAGCTACTACAGTGACTGAGGCAGAATTTAAACTCAGGATTTCTAGACTCCAGGGCCAGCCCTATCCATTACACTACCCAGCTGCCTCAGAACTAGATCCAGCAAAGTGCTCCACGCACAAGGCCTGGCTGCTGGCCCCAACTCTGTCACTAACCCGCCATGCTAGAAAACTCACCACTTTCCTGAGCCTCAATTTTCTTATTTGTGAAAGGGAACTAATTGTCCCCAACCTGTTTACTTTGGAGCTGGAGTAAAGATCATGGAAGAGAATGACCGTCCCAGGGCTCTGAATACCACAGAGCCCCCTCCAGATGTCAGGTGAAAAGCGCACTGGACTCAGGAGAGGAGGAAAGATCTGGGCTCGAACTCTAGGCCTCAAGGCCTTACTGGTCACATGACCCTGGGCAAGTCACCCAAGCTCTCTGAGGGTAAAACGAAGATGACACATTCATTATCTGCCTCTCAGGGCTGGGAAGAAAGCTACAGAAATGGGTGCTTCTCCCCGTTCACAATCAAGGAACAGGCCTGCTTCAGGGGCCCCAGCCTTTGGCCCTCATTCCCCAAACCAGTTTCCCATCGGCCCAGTCTATCCACTGATGCCACCACAACATTTTAGCCAAGCGGTTAAGCATCCTTTCTCTACCTCTGGCAATGGTATTGCTTTGTGAATTTGGTATCAAATACAAACAATTACTTCTTTATGCAGATTTACAAACACCAGAAGCATTCTTTTAATAACGCTGGGTGCCTGAATTGGTCGCACACTACACAGTCACTTCAGAAAGAGAAATCCATTTTCTTTTGCAAACACACTAACAGTGGGAACACTGGATAAAAATACCCACCGAAGAGCAACTATTTCAATTCAAAACAATGAACATTTATAGCAAAAAGTAAAACCCACTACAGTACAACTCCTGAATTGCTAACGTTGTAGCCAGCTGATCTTGGCGGCCTAAAGTTGCTGTCAGCTGCAGAGGTGACAGGTACCTGGCCACCAGGCACAAACATGGAGAAATGGACTTGCATGTCAAAATCCAAATACAACAGTTTTGTTGAAAAGAATAAGAATTTCAGGCATGAGTGGTATTAAATTAGCAGCGTTATCCAATGATTTGGAAAAATGATATGGGACTGAGGTATGAGAAATAAAGCAACATACATGAAGCAAGCTATAACTTACCACTCCCTGAAGAAAAAGAGTTCTCTAAGTACAATCCTGCTGGTTTGTTACAGTTTGTGTTCCAGAAGCTGGTCTAAAATTCACAGTGAATTGTTATGAATCTCCAAAGCCCTAAATTCTTGGTCGCTGAACTGACAGGTGGTTGGGCATTTCAATGCCCACTGGGCTCCAGTGGGATCTTCCCAAAGTGATGGGTGCTTGGCTTAGGAATGAATCCAAGCCCAGGTCCCAGGAGCTTTGGTGAATGAGGAGATGGCACACCTATGGGAATCACCTTGGCCCCTGGGTCATTAAGGACTTCGAAAGATTGACTTTGAAGGGAAAGGGATTCCCAGAAGGGCTATAGCAACTCTAGCTAGTGTTGCAAAATTGCAACGTGCATAAACCCGTGTGTGTGTGTGTGTGTGTGTGTGTGTGTGTGTGTGTGTGTGTGTGTGT